TAGTGCAAACATGTAAACATGCAAAGAATAAGGCAACTGTCAGAGGAAATAGACTTGGAAATGGCCAATACAATGCACAGTACTAAAAAAAAAAGACAGAGTAAGGTCAGCAGTTTATTTTTTCACAAGTGGGTTCTGCATAATTGGGAACCTAGATCAAAAATACAAATCTTGCATCACTTTTTCTGGAATCCCCATCACTGGGCAAGGATGATTGACCATAGTATGAAGCTATAACACCAAAAAAAGTACAAAAAAAACCCTCAGTGATGTTTTTGTGTTTTACCAGTGAATTAGGATGCATTTGTCACAGACAACTTGATACTCCCCCTTTAAGTTTTATAACAAATCCTGCAAGACAGCTCAATTGTACATGAATGTTAGAGCTTTCTGAAGGCTTGAAAAGAATCCTAATTAGTAGATAAACACCAATGACTAAATATCTATTACCAGCAAGGAAAGAAAATTCATTATTTGGGCACCTATGTCAAATAGAGCATAAAACATTGTTCTTATGTATTCGGCAGTTTGAAGCTTTGAGTAGCCTCAGGTGGCACAGGGATGTTTGGTCCAGCAGTAAGACAAAACCTGTAAAGCTTTTATTTTCAAAACACAATAGGGATATAACGATACCAAAAACCCATGGTACAATATTGCCATGGTAAAAAGTCCACAATACAATATTTGTCACAATATTAAAAAATAAAGAGGAAAAAAAAATCATTTATTAAATAATAAATAAACATTTTTTTACAGGATCTTCCTTTTAACTTAAAATTGAGCATCAGTGTTTTTAGTACGCCCTGGGCAGGTTTAACTTTTTCTATTTCATGGCTGTGCCAACAGGTGGTCAGGTTCTCAGTACTGGACCAGCTGAAGTAGATATGCCCCCTGGCCACTGGGGGAAATAGTGAGCAAATTGCTGTTTGGTGTACCAGAACAAGGAGAAGAAGACACCAAACTACACTAGAGCCGTTTTTACAAATGAACTCTGGACTACATCTGCAGAATCAGGTCTGGATTTTGTCAAGAGCGGTCCGTTCAAACATGTAGCACACAGCAGGAAGTAGTTTGTGAAGACATGTTCTCAACTACTGGAAATACTCTGTTTGGTTTATGTGTGGGGTAGAGTGCATAAGAGGCAGGACATGATGTAGTCATGTAGCCAGTTTATAACTGATCATAAACAACAAGTCTCTTACCTTGTTGGACTATTTTGGCACCGGCTCATGTCTTCATTGTAAATAACTGTTTTTCTTCACCATTGGATGTTTGTATTTTTCCAGTTTCATGTCGGCCATGTCATCAACACACCTACTAGCTCTGGGTGAATACTCTGGACTATACGCTGCTGTATACTCACATGGTTTCAATCCGGCTCATTCGGACCTTACATGCACTTTGTACTAGGGAGCTGGCAGAGTAAAGTACGCTTAAGGTCCGGACTAACTCGGACATTTGCATTCTCACATATAGCTTCCATCCAGTACTGTCTAGAGAATTTCAGGGTTCCAGTGCATGTCTGAAAAGGGCTTAGGACAAGCCACATAAAGGTGAAACTTGTTCTTTAATTGAGGTATTTTTCAAACATCGAGCTCTACTTTTTCAAGAGAAAGGACTTTAAGGGTGGTTTTGAATTTGTGCATCTGGTTTGTTTGCCTCTCTCTGTTAAAATGTCATGTCCCGACTGTTTCTACAAGATTAATCCACGAGTGTCTCAGTCCTAAACGGGGCTAGTATTGCCTTCATCTGACAGTATTTGCAAATTGTTTGTCAGTTTCCTTTCCACCCATGTCATTTCTTAAAACGGGAAAACCAAAATGCTGGCAAACATCGCCTCTAAAAGGTGACAATGGAGCATCCACCATGTCCAGTGACATGATCAAGAAATTTCATGAAAATTAATACCATGAAATTACAAATATTATTACATCCCTAACACATAATAAAGTCAAACATGTCCCTCATTATCATTGGTTATCACCATAATAGGTAAGACATAAAATGTCAACATAGGATGGATATGAGAAGCTGAATTTCAAGCTTCTCCACTAAAGCAACACTTTTCTGGAAATGAAATGAGATAGTATATACCTGGTGGGTTGTTCCTTCGATTAGCATAGGGGTCCTCGGGCTCAGCAAAAACACTGGAGGCCATCTTGTTTTTCCGGACAGGGGGTTTCTCCTCATCTGCACCAAGTGAAATGTTGGAGCCGCCACCAGGAGGACGCAAAACCCTGGGAAGAGAGATGTCAACACTCTTACTGAAAGTTGGAGTTTGTTTTTCTCTCCAATCTAAAATTCTGTATGAAAAACACAACCTACATTAATGCTGTGGTTCAGACAAAGGATGAACAGAATTAATAAACAAATTATTATTCATTCACAATGAATGGTAAACCATCAGTTTTATTTTGGGTTATTTAGCAACATGAGAAATGGAAAAATGTTATGACTAGATTTATTTTGGTTGATCAAAATGGTTGTAGAGTGTGTCTGCAAAGTCTTAGCAACCAGACTCAAGTATGTTACACACAAGGAATTTGTTTCTGGTACAGAACCGATGGCAGCCATCTGCAGTGCCACCTCAACTGATGGCTCTAACCATTGGGGGGGGGGCAACAGGGATGGTGTTCAGTGTCTTGCCCAAGGACAATTTGACACGTGGACTGCCAGCACCGAGATTCAAACCTTCAACCTTCTGGTTGGGAAACAACTTCTCTACCCACTGCACCCCTGTAATGCAGTACACTTCAGTAGCACTACTAACTAGCCTACTGCCTCCAAAATATCCTTCATGATGTAGGATTTATTGGAGGACTACTGTATTAGACTACACTTCTAAATAGGTCTGAGTGTATCCTTTGAGAACTTATTGAATTGTTACTGCTATATAACCATACTGATTATGTTTTCTCTAAAGTGTAAATGTACCACTTGTTAATATTGTTGCACCATGGTACTGGTCTAATATTTTTGTTTTTCTTTAATCACATTGTTATTTCAGGGCTATGATAAAAAAGAATCGTCATTTTTCCAGTTTTCATGTAATAGCAGTGTATTGCTTTCACTGCTTTGTTGTGATGAAATATATATAACGAAAGCTGGGGTTAATGACAGGTGTGGCCAGCTGTAACATGGCCATTGGTCGCCTAAATTAAATGAGGCCATATGCAGGGCAAACTAGGGGATGTCTTATTGCACCTTACTGATTATCTCGATTAACGCTACTGCTCTGAAATCCACTGGGGCCCCACCCAACTGGAATGACAGACCGTATGTGTATTCGTTTTCACACAATAAACACGACAAACCAGTTAGAGCATATACAAATACGCACGCCGATGGCCTATACAGTAACTAGCCGCACAATGAGCAGGTACTTAACGGATAATTAGCTTCTCTACAAAAGGGAGAGTACGTGTGCTATGCTGCTAGCTGGTGATGTTCAAATGGGAAAGGTCCATCCTTACGGACAAAAAACGGGAAGGTGTGGTACCGAGCTTTATCCTAGCATCCCTGCCATCCGTGCTTAGCTTCCAACAATTTCGAAGCAGTTAATTGAACATTACAGGCAGTGATCTGAATAAAAATGTATAAAAAATGTACGTTGACCTAGACAGCGTTAAAATAAACCTTAGAAGATGCTGGACTGGTCGGCTTCGTGATGGCTAAAGGCTTATTGAAAGGTCTGAACGTCGCCTTTTACCTGGAACTGCTTTTGGCACCGGGCTCCATCCCTTGAAATGTTGTGGTTGTCGTCATTTTTGCACAAGTCGTAAAATATTAATAAACTCGACAGGAATTATACTTAAAGAGCAGTACTTCACCGCCTCATCATTGTCTATCCTACTGCTTCCCAATAATCAGCCTGCCTCCAGTCTGTCTGGATCAATGTCAATTTGGCCAGAGTATGTATATATTGCACTTCCGGCCAAAATTTCAAAATAATATATACTCACCTGACAAATAAATGTTTCGACATTTTATTAATTAATTATATACATATATATATATATATATATATTTACTTATGGAGTATATGACTTGCGATTAGGGCTTTGTTCTTCATAACCCCGTACTTCAACAATAGTGACATATATGATGTGCAATTTCGAGGCAAAACGTCACATTTCCTGCCTTTCTCAGTTTATTTCTGGTGGTATGACATAGCGGTGCGGATGCAACAGAAGCCATGGAGAGGACACCCGAAAATGAACAGCTCCTTCTTTGACTGGATTTACAGTAATTGAATTTTTTTTTATTTTGCAAGCCATGCACGTACAATGATAATAATGATGAGGTCAAATTTATCTTGTGAGCCTGGCAACCATCAGAGGGGCAAACTGCAAATTTACTGAAAAACCCTACAGGAACTATTTTCATCTGAAATGTTAGAGTGAGCCATTTAATCACTAGGACATATGGCCAATATAGGTATCTATAAATAATGTTTGACACAGAATCACACCTACATCCAAGATGAAAATAAAATAACTTACTCCAAAACCAAACCAAAATTAAACCTTAATGAAAATCCTCTTTGAAAATAAATTAGTTTTAGACAATCACTGGTTAAGCAGTGTAATGTCACAGGCTAAGAAACCAAATGCAGTTTTAAGCAGTACTTTACCTGCTGGTTGTGGTATGTGCTGAAAGACTGACACATCATATAACAAACAGACATATTTAATTAAAAAAAATTTATTCCAATAATACATTTTCATAACAGCAAGAAATGTCAGTGAATTTAAAATGTGGGCTTACTTGACAACAACAAAATTAAAAACTCATTGACTTGAGTATAAAAGCAAAAACAAGGGCCAAAGCATTTTCCCAAATCTTCCTTAAAATAAAAAAAAGAAAAGATTTTAATTTCTTCAGCACATCAGATTGCTCGCAGCTTACAAGCTGTCTACCACTGCAAAGTTCAGATATGTTAACATGTAAATGACAGTGATAAAATCTATCCACATACAACAGCTTTGCTGCTGCCTTTGAGCATTCTGTAAAGGTATTCCACTGGATGGTATCAGCACTGGTCATGACCATGTGAAGACTGGGTATAACAAACATGTTCAGGGATGAAAAGGGGAGGTAGGGATGTTCATAGGAAACAGTCTTTAAAGAGAAGAGCCTCCAGTTTGCTGCTGGAACACATCAATTGTATCTTCATCCTCCATTTCTAGCTGTAAAAAATTTCAAATGTCAGTTGAGAGACAGCTTGTTAGTGAAGCAGTGATACGAAGGACAAAAAACAGAATTATTTAAATTTTAATAAATGTTTTCAGGGGTGGAGAAGGGTATTTCCTGAATTTTCACCTCCACATTAATTATCAAAAAATTATATTGTCCTGTAGCATTTCTATAAAACGATACTGTAATAACATTTTTATTTATTAACAGTTAACTAATTTTACAGTACAATTATAGTTAAGTTATAGAAATTTAGCTAAATGCATTCAAACTCGGATTTTGACAATTCTGAACATTTTATTTCAATCTATTTTCCCTTTGTTACTTCAGTTAGTCTAACTACTTTATTTTGATGGTTTAATCGCATTCTCAGAGGATCGGAGGTTTGCATACACTTTAATATTTTCTGGCACTGCCTTTAAATTGTGTAACTTGAATCGAGTAGTCTTCCACAAGCTTCACACAAAACTCTGCAGGGAGTTTGGCCCATTCCTCCTGGCCGAACATGTACATGCCAGTCAGGTTTGTGGGCTGCCTTGCACGAACCTTTTTTCAGTACAGCCCACAAACTTAATTACAGTCAGGGCTTTGTAACAGCCACTCCAAAACTCGGACTTTGCTGACTATAAGCCAGTCTGTTAGCATTTGGGAGGTGCAGTATGCTTCAGATCATTGT